GGGGGGGGGGGGGGGGAGGTTGGAGACAGAGTTAATATCATACGTACACTGAAGTGTGAATTGTTTAAGCGTAGAAGAGAAAGGATCCTGAACTGGGTCATGGACTACTAATTTAGGCAAACATCCAGGGAGTACATTTCATTCTACTATGAAAAGAAAAAAAGCCCGATACTGTAACATTTCTACAAACCCCCTGCCATAGGAGTTCTGCCTCCGAAATGGGAATGGAACTAGTTTCTTAGACAATGAAACAGTCTGAAAAACACTTTAACCTAGGGATAGCGATGACATTTGTGCTGATATGAAAGAGCTGGAAGTCTCCAGCCGCTCCTTTTCATAAACAAACTCCATCTTAAAACTGGTTAGATTGGCTGCCCCTAGGATTATTGAGAGATTGTTCCGAAGGAACCCACTGATCTGATGGTTAAAAGCCTTCTAAGTTTCAGGCTAAATTTATTTCATGGGTGACTTGCATGCATTTGTTGTTATGCCAATATTATCCTTTTGTTTAATCAGCTCATCTCCCTCCCCCACTCCCCATTTGCTTCCTAGATTGTACATCAGAGGGCAATTTCAATACTGGCTACCTGACAGCCGATGAATCCAAAGCCATCATGAAAACCATTAGGGGAGGAAAAGAGGAATTAAGTGTCCACCTGAAGAGAAGAGACTCCAGTCCATGTTCCCCAGAATGGTTTAGCTGCTTACACATTGTTGCAACAGTGCAAAGCTGCTAGACAACCAAATCCCGTTTCTGATATAGTTCTGCTACTATCCAGTTAACCTACTGTAAAGCCATTTACTGTTACCTTTGTCTTAACAGTATCTATTTCTTCAAGAATTCTCTTCAGCTCTGGTTTGGGAGTATTCCCCACCTGTAAATACAGAAAGCACAAGAAGGTAGTTATGCCAGATTATTTTTCTTCATCTCTCAGCTACACAAACAAATGAAATGGACACATCCCTTTAACTGGTTTAGCTGGCAACATTCTCAGAAATCTCATACCAAACAGAATGTTTCTAGGATGGAGGGAAGATCCTGACTGTGGTCTTGTATTATAGGTTGACCTCCCTCTGCCCACACCAAAAATCACAAGTCTCAGTTGGATCATACAAGTCAACATGCAGGATCATTAATGCCATATTCTGTGTATGGGTTCTGTAGGAAAGCTAATGTGTTTCAGAAGAGGATAGCAATTCATGGGAAGGCTTGGGCAGCAGTCTAGACAAGCAAGTTGAAATATTGCACTGTCATAGCATAAATAAGACCTCCAGGGTGATCAACTCCAGTACTGTGCTATTACAGGCACCCACATCACATAGCCCCTTTTGTACATTTATGAAGCCAATTCATCCAAGCCTTCCTCTTACAATCCTTATATAAAGCCAGCCAATGAAGCTTGGCAAAAGAGACTACAGCCTTAGGTTTCTTCTCCCAAGTCCACCACAATTTGGCTGGTCAATATTCAAAATTATCTCAGCAAGTAGGCTGCTGAAGTGTGACCCTTAAGGTGCTTTTTCCAGAAGCTTTAGCAGATGAAATAAGATTAGATGCGGTTTAAAACAGCCAGCACTCTTGATGCCTCATTCTTATTAAGGGGCACAAAAAAAAAAAAAAAACCAAATAAGGAAGAAAAAAAAAATAAAATAAAAATCAACTATAGAAGTTTAACATACTTGTTCTGATGGACTTGCACCAAACAACTTCTTACTGAATTCCTCCAATATCTTATTGATATTAGACAATCAAATACAATGCTGCTGTTTGTCTATTAACATGGAGGACTAACATGAACCAAACCTTGGATCAAATTTCAGATTGGGAGAAGTTTGAGTCTGGGCCAAATCCAGAGTTTATAATCCATCTCTACAATGGCTTGAACAGAAACCTTTCATGTCAACAATGAGAAGGTTTTGAGGATGATCCCCAATATAAAAAGCGTAAAAGATGAGGCCTAACTAATTGATATTAATGATAAAAGCACTGCCTATCTTATCAAGGAAAAATAAAAAGATGAGAAGCTACGTGAATACTGGTGGTAGCTATGGGATAAGCTGCCATGAACAGTGGAAGCAGTGACCCTTCTGGTCATCTTTATTCATCAGGTCAGACATAGTAGAGGAAAGGCTCAATAGCCTCTCACCATGAATAGCAGACATCCATCAGTTCTATCAAAAATGGCCATGTAAAAGGGCCAAGAGATGTTGCAAGTGTTTCATGCTGCTTATTTGCAAGTTTTAGCCTCCAGGGAAGTTTAAGGCAGCTCCCTGACATACAAGTCAGTCAGCAAGTAACAAAGCAAAGCTGACTGCTCCTGGGCAGAAGTGTCATTGATGCTGCACTTGCAAAGCAGAAGGAAGTGCTCCCAGGAAGTGCTCCCTCAGTTCATATCACAAGCCAAGGTCTGTGGTATAGATGCAGCACGTGTGACTTGTTCAAGCCTACTAAAAAAAAGAGTCAGGGATGAGGCTCAAAGTGTTAAGGGTGCATGTGCATTAAGTTACAAAAGAAGCCCAAACCTCAAAAAAACAAAACAAAACAAAAACCCTCAGCCTATGCACCATTCTAAACATCTTCCCAATGTGATACAACACACAATTTTCCCTAAATTTTCAAAAGAATAAAGCATGTATAATACTACCAAGAATAAACTTACTTGCAGAAAAATGCCCACCACAGCTACTCCATCACGTTGTTTCAAAGCTCCAGCAAAATTACCGTGTTTTGGATTCCAGTGCACCATGTGAAGCTGAGGACCAAGGGAAGCTGAATTTTATTAATGCTGCCAATGACAATCCTGCTTTCCTCATGCATCCCACTGAACTTTGAATGTATGGAGAATGCAGGACTTGGCATAAACAGAAAATATATATAAAAAGTACATCCTATCCCTTCTGCAAAATTCCTCCTTGTGCTTTGTGCAACAACTACTTGTCAGTCATTTGGCTACATTAAAAATGTATGGAGATTGACAAAACAGAAAGCTTGCTTCAAACCAGTCAGATAACGTAAAAGAATTATTTATACATGCATCATGCACTGTTTGAATTACCCATTGATGTATTTAGTCTCAACCAGATTTTCAGGGTTGAATTTTTCCCAATTAAGGGGTGCTTTACAAATTACTGTGCTACAGCTCTTTATTCACCTCCCTACAATAAACTAGTAGAAAAACAGAGCTCCAAAAAATAAATTTAAATATAAATACAATAAAATAAAAATAACCACACTATTTTACTTTCAGGACATCTTTCAACAGGTTTTTATTTCTTTTTCCAGAGGCACTCTAGACCCACTTCTCTTTGTATAGTTGAGAAAACCACCACCACCATTCTGGAATGTCAAAATACGCAACAGGGTCATCAAAGATATGGCCTGCAGAACTTTATTATCTGGCCTGATGTGCTGTGTGTGGGTCTCTGAATGAACCTGCATGCCGCACAAGGCCTGTGCTGTACTGGCCCCATGTGCAGCATGAGGGCCAGTCCAGGTCACAGTGTGGTCCTTGGACCAGCAGCATATGTGCCTCATCTGGCATGCAGGTCTACAGTCCCCAATTAGCCCATGCTATTCATTCAGCACATAGGGCCTGAGGAGTGTGACACCCTGATGCATAGAATATTTTACTAGTGTTTATTTCTACTATTGACTTTCTAATGAAAATGACAAACAGCACAGGGATTCAAGATTCCCTTTCCCCAGAGCAGTGTCCTAATCATTGGGCCCCACACTGCTTGTTCTTCTAGGACTCTTGCATTCTTGTCAATGCACTGATCAAGAAATTGGGCCAGAATGGGGTTCTCAGCTAGTCAACTGTATAACCCTGTGGCTAGAGCACTCTTCCAGGAGGTGAAAGTGTAGATTTGCATCCATTTATACTAAGGACTGCCTCAAAGTCAAGTTATGTGCTTAACATGCAGCCCTTGGTCAAATGCCCGAATTCTGGAGAAGCATGGCTAAACAGACACCTCTGTGCTTAGTGTTGCCCATCCCTTGGTGCAATCAGTTACCTTTAGAGATGTTCAGACATCTGCCTTCCTTTTAAGAGCTTATGAACCACTTCCCTTTGCTAACACTGCAGAGAGCCTAGGCACCCAATACAGCCTATTTGGATTGCCATCTTGGGGCCAGACACTTCAATTTTTAGGCACTGGAATAGGTAAGTGGAAGCTTAAGGAGCCATTCTGGGTGCTGTCCAAGGTCTCAAAATTGTGCACTAGTCAAGTCTTTGCTTGGTAGAAACAAAACAACGCATATCCTCCGCTTACAAATAGGAAGGGGTGCATGTGCATGCACATGTGGCTGATGCTACTAAACATGGAATCCACAAGGAAAAAAATAAAGTCACTCATAGCACCATTCACATGATTATGGGCTAGTCTATGATAAAATGCATTCTGTCTGCCAACATTTTCTTTGCATGAGAGGCAGATAGCTCTGCTCTTGTGGTTGAGAAGTCAGAACACTGACATACCACTGAATACCCTTCATACAAATTAAAATAAAAGTAGCATTTCCATGACAGGGAAGCATAAGGCCCAAGCTGTTTCCCCAGCAAAGAAAGAAAGAAAATGGAACATGTTCCAATACCAATGAACTGGTAACTTAACCCTACAACAAATGTTGAATCAAACCCAACAATTAGGGCCAAACTCCTTGAATTAGAGTACTTTGGCACATTCATATTAAAACAAACCATTTCCTGAAATGGCAATCAGATGCTAAACAATTAGCATCTGAAGGATTCCAATAGCCAGTTAAACCAACATAAACAGATCATTTCTCACATCTGGAAAAAAATTGGAACACTTATAACAGCTGTGTTTTCTGAAAAACAGCAAGCAAATCTTGAAGCATTGATTATTTTTCAGGCTAGGGTGCATTTAAAGAAATTATGATATTGCTAACGTGGCATTTTGTTTGTCCCCCGGAAATCTCTTTGTACAAATGATTTACATTTGTACATTTGATATACACAGAAGTAACAGATTTCATTAAACAACTATGAGACAGCCATTCAACAAACAGAAATAAAATGCTTCTGAGATTAGAATTATTCTATGAGGGATGGGGTAGGGAAGAGAAGGAAAATGGAAAAAAAAAAAAAAAAAAAAGATCCTACCTCTGCTGCATGTTTCACTCCATCAATAATATGCTCCGAGCCATGATCATCAGAAGAACCCCAGTGAAAGTGAAGCTGGCGTAGCCTGTAGGCTCCTTGGACTGGCCCACCTCTTAGCACTGCAATTGAGAACATCAACATCAGACTTTTATAAGAAGTTCTACTGCACAGTGGTTACACACCTTTATTGTCTAAAAGGGCCCAAGCCTTATGAGAACAATAAACAAGTGTCAAGCACTCCTTAACAATCCCATTACAAAAAAAAAAAAATATCCACTATCTCACAGGTGGGCCTGGCAACATTACAGGTAAGAATTACACATCTGGATCTGGGCAGAACCAAAGGGGTATGGAAAGAAAAGTCAGCTTCTATGCGTGTGTCCTCTCAGACATGTAATACTGCAGGCTATTTGTAAGCAATGCCAGTAGTAGTCACCAAGACAAGTAATTCTGTTTTACACCTCTGTGCCATCACCATTTTTTAAAAAAGCATCTGGCACAAGGGAAGACTGTCTAGCCTCATGCCAAAATACTTCTCTCATCCAAAATAGAGGATAACTTCTCCCTAAACTGATTTTCAATGAAGTACCAAGGGAAAAAACAAAAAAGAACAACTAAGAGCACCTGTAATCCATAAACAGAATTCCAATCCTCCCAAAAGGAGGAAGGGATTTTTCTATTTTGCTGGCAGCATGGCATAAAATAGAAGCCACCAAAAAGTCCATGTCATGACAATATAAACAGTAACTCTAAGGGCTAAAAGCATCTCTTTCAGGCCATCATCAGCTGTAAGAACATAATTTTAAGATAAATTTTCCAGGTTGTGGGGTAATGAACTCCCAAGGATCAACTATAAAGAGCCCAGAACAAGTATTCAAAGACCAAGTTCAGGTAGGAAAACATGGCTCAAAAATCTGGTTCATGAACAGGGATATTTATTGTTTTGTGTTAGGGCTTACAGCTTAAAGGCAAGAGCCAGCAAGACATGGCATTGTTGAATGTTGCCACACCTACCTTTCAAGTACCTGGCCACAGCAGAAGATTCCACAGTCCTAAACTAGGCACCTAAAAATCCCTGTAGAGTGCCTGGGAAAGAGGTACTTTCCCCAGATTCACAACAGCCAGCACAGGGAGGCAGGAACCTGCCCAAGGAAATACTCTGCTTAAATCCCATCCCTCAGGAGCTCAGTTCCATACCTTAGACCAGGCGTGCTCAACCTCCGACACATAGACCGTGCAGCATGGCATCCAGTCTTGCACAGCTCCCCAAGGGTCAGGAGAAACTTGGTGACACGAAACCAGTTGCAACTAAGCCGCTACCTGCTTCGCTGACAAATGCCCAGGCCCCACAGGGCCGGGCCACACCTCCCTACTCCCCGCCCCCAGCAGGATTGGGACTTGGCCCCTTTCTCCCTCATGGGCTCAGCCCATGGCCCCTCCCCCTCAAAGGCCCAGATCAGGACCAGGCTGGGCTGCTGCCTGACCCTCTCCCCAAAACACAGCTGGATCACGCCCCACCCTGCATGCTGGATCAGGTATAGTGGCCAGATACAGCCCACTGATGGACAGAGCACCATTCATCTAGCCCCAGGCTGCTATTCACAGCCTTATACCAAGGATAGCACCCAGAACCCTCTCCTACAGCTCATATTCTGTACTGTATTCCCAAAGGGAAGCCTGGCTAAATTCTCTTTTAAAAACAGACAGTGGTGGTGCTGTCAGTATACTGTTACACATCAGTTGGAACAAGTGGGAGGCACAGATTCAATGCTCTCCTCACCCTTAGGCAATTAAAACCCACTTTACCCTACTCTCAGGGGAGCGCTCTCCCCACCAGCGTAGTGCTGCCATGCATGGAACAAAGCAGACAATTTCCACCATCCAGTTGAAACCGCTCCAACGTGCAACAAGAATTCTGTGGTCCAATGAATCTCAAAACAGTAGTGAGAGGGAGAAAGGCTAGATTAGCAATCTGAGCATTTATATAGGAAAGGGAAACTTGGTTCCAGGCCTTGCTCTGAAGGCTATTTATGAATTTTAAATGAGACCGTCACTATGATATACAAAAATAGTCTTCAGAGCACAGGTCCATGAAAGGGACGGAACAGCAAGAGGTGCTTATTGAAATGTAGACCATTGCAGCAGCTGGTGCCAGGAAGGGTAGAGCTGGGTACATCCCACCTACCAAGTCCACTGACACACACAAGCCCCAGAAGTTCACTAGCAAAGCTATTCCAGGCTCATTCCTGGCAGCTACTCAGAAGCCCTCAGAAACCAAGGGCTCAAAAGAGCTTAGAGCAGCCTCCAGTCTCGAGTCTGCAGGCACTCTACAGACCTGGAAGGGATTGATGTACAATCCTGACTGGCAGTTTTGGGTTTTTTTTATTGGAAAAATATGGGAAATATAGTTATGAGGTTACAGTTTGTCAGTTGATTATTCTTAAAAATGCAAATAAAATAAGATGCGTTTCAAGCCATCCCACCCAACAACTGCTTAAGCACATTTCCAAAGTTTATCAGAATTTTGCTGAATTCACAGTGTAAATGAAGTTCTCTTCTCTCTCTCCAAGAAAAGGTTCAAAGAAAAATTTCTTTCCCCCCCCCCAAAAAAAAGGTTAAAAAAAAAAAAAAAAAAAAAAAAAAAAAACCAAACCTCTCAGAAATAAGGGGTTTGGGGAGGAACTAAGCTTCTTTAGATTTGTTAGTACACCCCAATACCAACTTAAAGTAACAGGCATACTGTGTTGCAAGTTTGGGCCCCTTTTTGAGCAGATACCAGTATTGGATAGACTCCAAATTCATGCTCATTCATGACTGAAAGCAAGACTAATACCCATGCCTCCCGAGGGAGAAAGCTGATAACCCACTCCATGACTGCAGCCCCAAAAGACTTGGAATAAGGTTTGACCTCCAACAATAGCTTGTAAGTTCAAAGTTAACATTGATACAATTCTTAAATCCTCCTGTGCCTAAACACTGTTGGTCTCAATTAACACTTGATATCATGCATACTGGATTACCTAGGGATTAAAGGATGTGCTAACTACAGAGGGAAGGTTTACTAGTTGGCATACATCCTAGTCATTGGGGTACATAAGCAAACACTGTGCTGGATTCAGCTGTGCAATTCTCGTAACTCTTACTGACTTTATAATACATAAATAAATCATCACAAATAAATTTTCAGTTTTAGAAAGCCTTTCATCAGGAGCTATCAACATATCATCTCCATTTCATATTTACACATAGGAAAGTTGAGGCAGAGGTTAAGACCCAGATCTTCAACGCTATTTAGGCATCTTGTTCATTTACTTGCAAGAGCAATCAATAGCAAACATTGGAAAGTTACTTAAAACAGTTTTCTAGCTGCTGCCCTATAGAATAAATTATGGGGACAACACTGTAATGGTTTGTTAATTTCTTTAATGCAAGTGGTTTTTTTAGCAGGTGGGGACAGGGCTGGTAACAGAGTAAAAAGTTTGAGGGGGATTAGATTAAAATAAGATCCTGTGTTTAATTTAGGTTAACTGCAAAAGGAAACCTATCAGGGCTGAAACTGTTAGTTATTCTTTACTATTTCTATGGCCACAGAACCCAGCATGTCCACTTGTTCATCGTAAATTGGTAAATGTTTGTGTCAGAGGAAGTGCTGGCCTAAGCATTTAAGAGCAGAACTAATATAAATAGTTTACGTACATGCTACTTCCAAAAAATAAATAAATTGCTAACAAGTGCTTTGATGAGGAAATAGAAGACAACTTGCAGGGAATGTGTCTGAACTGTGAAGCTCTAAAACTCCTATCCTATAGCCATCAGGACATCAATGGCAGAAGGGTGGGAAGTATAACTGGTAAGCAAATTTGCATTTGGGATATCCAGGGAACAGAGGGGGTGCATCTTTGTCCAAAAACCTACTGAGCAACTCTCCACGAATAGCCGAAGTGTTTATTTTTTTTATTATTTATTTAAAGAAGCTCCCAGAAGTTTGAATGTTAAAAATATTCCTGGCAAAGATGGGACAAAAACAGGTTGTGCACTAAAAAGGTGCAAGATAAGATGAACATACTTTTTTGCATATTGTTTGCAATATATTGCATGGTCTTGAAATCTTTCCATCACATACCAGTTGTGTGTGGCTGGAAAGGGCCATAAATATGAATATGGTCACAATTATTCAAATACAATGCAAATATTATTGTTACTATAGCTTACAAGATATCAAAGTGTTCACTTGTGGCATCATAGTTACTCAACATGTATATCTTGTGTCATCAATGCAAGTGTTACTTTTTTTACAAAAAGAATGAATACATAAGTCTTGCCCCAACTTAAAAATGTAGATTGAAAAAAACAAAAACAAACAAACAAGCAAACAACTAGAGGCAGAACATTGGGGCTTGTCCCAGTGGTTTTGTTATTACACTGGGCGTAACCCAAACCAAATCTGCATTGCAAATAGATTTGGTAAGACAGACAGAGCAGTAGGCATAGAATACTCTGCCTTTTGAGCTTTCAGTTATTTACTTTTTCCAAAATCAGCAACTTGTGAACACCTAGTCAAAACTGCACTGTTGCAAAAGCTTTTTTACTCTATGGCTGACTGCACATACTGTTAAACAACAAGTCTGATACTAGTGTCCAAGGACTGCAGACAGACATGGGCCCCTTTATTAGACACTGTACAAAACAGAGATGGACACTATCCTAAATAGTTTACAATCCATATCAGAGAAGAGACAGCACCAGGTGGATACAGCAAAGTAGAAGCCCAAGGAAATAAAGATAGTTGGCATGGTAAGCAGTAGTTAGTAAGGTCTTTCAACATACTGCAGCTACATTTCTTTAATGAAGCAGCTTATCAAGAATAGAATGCCAATGCAAATGCCACCAAAAGTAATCCAAGGGGGGGTGGGGGGGGG